TGTTTTGTGAGCAAATGCTTTTGCATATTTGTAATGTTTCCTCCTTTAAATGAAATATCTACTTTTCAAGTATTGCAAGTTAGCCCTGTTGTCATCCATTCTCATAAAGTATAACCAAACTTTTGAGCGTTTGAGCCGATTAGGCACCATGTTTCCTATCAGGTAAATGACGCTACGCAACGTGGTGACGTCATTCGGGGCGACTGGAATCGATAAGGGAATCGTTTGCAAAAATGGCAAACAATTCCAAGGAATTGAAACAGTGGGAACCGGTTCTCAACAAGAACCGGTTTTCGATACCCATCCCTAGACAGGAAGGATAAGGAAAGAGCAATGGTCTGTGGCCACACCTGTAAAACCATGTTGTCTCTCCAGTGCGCCTGTTGTCACTTTCATTTACACTAAAGCACAGATTATACACTTTTATTACAGGTCCTAAAAAAATATATAATCATCAGGTAAATATAAAGTGGAGGGTTTATGTATTGTTATGCCTATTTTATGTATTTATGGGATTATAGTGTCTATACCTTGGAATACGCTGAATTTAATATGAAACCTAAAAAAAAAAAAAATTAAATAGCAATGTTTGAAAGACAGAAATCACCCAGCTTCAAATAACATTTTGCAGTCACTAAAATTATTTCCCTTCACATTTCTCATTTCACTCTAAACACTGTTAGCAAAAAGCTAATTATCTAGTACTAGCTGTTTTGAGTTTAAGTAAATAACATGGAAATTCAAACGTTCAAATCTTCATCCTCTGCAGAATGTAGCAGATTAATAGAACCGGTGTCCAGATTTCTTTTTTTTTTTTTTATGGTTAAAGTTCTTGGTATGAACTGCATAAAAACTCAAACATCCCCAGCTTTCAGACAATTATCAGGGAATTTATGAGCTCAAAAGTTCAATATTAGTACACAAGTATTGTTCATGCTAGGACACAATTATTTATAGCACAGTCCACTTTTGTTTCTCAACTTGAAAAAAAAAATGGCATAAATTTAACAATAAAATCGTGTATTTGTGAATATGCAGTATGTGGTGCTGTCAATAATCCTATAGTACACACAGTATGAAGTTTGAAGCTGGTAAAAATGAGGTGGTTCTTCATCCTCCAGTTAGCAAAAATGCTACCCAGGAGCACCATTAACAGTTGTTAAAAATGTGTATAATGGCTGAATGCATGTCCATCTGCATGACCACACACAAACTGCACACACACAAACCCATGAACCTATAATATGTACCTTGACCAGGGCCAGCATGGTTGGGATTTCCATCACCATGTAGTCCAGCGTAGATGTTGTCTGAGGAGAAAGAACCCTTCAAAGAACAGGGCTGCTGGGTATGGACATGCTCTGGGGCAGTGCTCGGCTGATTGCTGGAGCTGGAGCAGCCGCTGGAGTGGGTTGAGCCATCTGATAGAACTGAACTTTTAGCCGGGGAGCCGGACGAGCTGGCAGCACTCTCACCTTGGCACAAAGAGAAAATAAATAAATAAAATAAGCAAAGTGTGAGTCAGAATGAATCACACACTCCTACGAGTTTTCTGAACCTGATGTCATTCCTGTGTTCTCCACAGGCTGCAAACACTCTCCCATACACACAAATCATCACATCACACGGATACATAGCCACTCATCACCCCACGTTCCCAACCCACATACCTTTTCTGTCAGCACTGGTTGTATTAAGATTGTTTTTGAGCTGCTGCACCATTGGATTGAGCAGTTTTCCAGCCTTTAGCTTGTGTTTGCTGGCTTTGCGCCTACGGCCACTTGGAGGTGCAGCATGAAGCAGGCTGACATTGGGGGGCAGAGTTTTTCCCAACTCCTTGTACAGATGTTCAATCTCACTCCTCTGAAATGCCTGCAGCTCTGAGATCTCTTTCATGTGTCTTAAAGGTAGATGCAAGGTGAAAATATTTAGTAACCATCTTAAAACAAAAAGAAACCAAACAAACATCATTTCAAAAGTTCACTCACACATTATTATCCATCTCCTGTACTCTGCATTGTTAAAAGTCAGTATTAGCATGATTTTATATGTTGGAAATTGATCATAAAAATGCAATTCTTAACTTAAAATAATTCAATTAAAGGTGGTTTTATAATCTCCTGAATCATTGGGTATACTTTTTCACAGGACTGCACAGTCTTATATCCTATACAAGAGGTTTTGGCCTTCCACCAAAATAAAGTCACCAGGGGTGTCATTTTTACTAAGTTCATTCTATGTGTAATTTAACAGTCTCTTTGCCTTAACTATCACTGTTACGTGCATATTAAACATACAAAAATACCCATTTTCAGCCAAGACACATCCTGTAAAATATCTATTAAGGTTTTCTGTTAAATGCAAGCATTAAGTCATACCTACTTCTGATTACCATGCAGAGGGATATACTTGAACATAGGCTCCAGAGAATGGTGACTATAATTCAGCCATATTCCCAAATAGTCTCTTTTTTAATATAACTAATTATGACAGTTAGACAATCAGACTAGTGTGAAGCAGCTTCAATAAACTGAAACAGTTATGTAATTATGAAACAATTAGAGTGAATACACAGGAACTGTATTCCGCTTAAAAAGTTTTTAAAACACCAGCTAATTAAAAAAAAGATTAATAAAACACAGCTAAAACTTACTTTTCTCTAAGTTTCTGTAGTTCTTTTCTCATATCTGCATCCTCAAACTCGGAATCATTGTCACTGCTGATGTAGGATGAGGGTGCATGTCCTGCTGAAGGCGAAGGAGTGTGACCATTCATTGACACGGGCTGTCGGCTCGGTGAATCGGAGCTCTGTTCACTTTTGCTTCGCCCAGAGCGCCGCAGGAAGGCAACTGCCCTCTTCATGAGGTCACTTCCACTGTGCTCAGACAGGGTATGAGCCGGAGGAGCTGGATGTGCAGGAGGAAGAGCTACGCTGCTGCTGTCCTCATCTGCTGAGTCAGAGCAGAGGTGAGAGGGGAAGCGATAGTGGTGATGTGCTGAAGCGTCAATAGTCTGGGCCCGGGGAATGTGGCATGGGGTGCTGTCAGGACTAGAAGAAGGTGTAGCCTGGTAGAAGTTTGGCGGAGCAGAGTAACGGCTACTGCGGTGAGATTTAGATGTTTCTGCATTCTCATCTTCATCTCCAGGTTTCACTGACGACCTGCTCATAGCCACACATCCTTTCTCTTTCTTGCTCATGCTCTGAGCTTGGCTGTAAGACCCACCAGAACCACTAGAAGGAGCTGGGGAACTGCAGGAGCTGCAGCTTGTCTTGCTTTTTTCCAAGCGACAAATAACATCCGGTGGAGTTGGGATGATCTGCAATAATGGGAAACCCATGTTCATAACAAAATTAGGGCCCATAAACAACTAATGCAATATTAAAGCTACAAACACTGGAACTCAGATAAACACTGGCATAAGCCATGACCTGTAATGCAATTTTATTAGGGCAAATGACATTTACATTGAGCAGATTTGCTCACTGAAAGTTTGAAAGCAGGGTCTTACTTGAAAACGGCTTTTGGAGCCATGTGCACCAGAGCTTTCAGGCACATCACTTCTTTTTAAACCCGTGTTAGTACCTAAAAGACCAGTAAGGAGATTTTTGTTTTCAAAACAAAACTATCTGCAAAACATTATGCAGTAACAAAGTGACATGGATATTACACAAATAAATGTTACCTACCTGGCACTGCAGAGTCACTTAATGTACCAACATCATCCGTGCGCTCAGGAATCTGAGGCTAAGACAGAAAGCGAGAAGAGTGTGTGTTGGAGAGGTCACAATGATGTGCATAGTGACAAGTGTTAAAACATGACATACACAGGGTTGGTGCATTAAGGCTAGCTGTTATCCTTTCCTGACCTCACTGTTGTCTGAGTCAGAACCTGATGTGTTTCTGCTGGCATGCATGTACACAAATATAAGGGAGGTCAGGCTGAATCATTGTTATGAAAGGAGTAACTTAGTTACTCTCGCTTCTTTCGAAACACAGTATTTACCTTGCTCTTTATAGACAATAGTCAAATCAATAACACAGAGCAGAGAATCGATTCACTGTTGCTGCTATTTATATACCATGTAGCTTTTAACCAAAGTCTGGTTGCTCACATTTCTCCCTTTTACTAACAAACACAGTGCATTTTACCAGAGGTTCCCCCTTCTTCTTTGGAAGTGCTCCTTCAGTGCTTTGGCCGTCTGAGACTGGAGGGGAGCTGACCCCCTCTGTGCTGGATGCCTGGGTGTCAGATGTAAGGCTCGAGGGCTGGGAAGGAGCATGCTCTTGGTATAACAGGTTTCTCAGCTTCTCATCCAAAGTCTTGATAGTGCGGTCAACAAACTCCACCCTGCGTGGCCCCTCACTGTCTGACTCGCCTGGCCCCACACACTGCTGATGGCTTGAAGACTGGGAGTTCTGATGTGCAGGACTTTGAGGCTGTGAGGTCACAGTCCCAGGCTGCATGGGCGTTGCATAAGGTTGCTGCATGACCACAGACTGAAGGGAAGTCAGCTGAGGAGGAGCTTCTCCAGTAGGGCTGGCCTTCTGGATTGGTTGATTAGTCTGAGATGAAACCAAACCACCAGGTGTTCCTTTCTCAATGCCATTTACATCCAGCGAGACAGGGGGCACAATAGCGCAGCATGGCATATCAGTAACCATAGAAACAGCGGAGATGCAAGGTTCTTCCACAGAAAGTGAGCTGTGATGGTTGGCGGCACTAGAACCTAGGGCATGTTTAGTAACACCGGGCTGGGTCTGCTGGATGTGGGCTTTGCTAGTGATTTGGTCCGGAGGCTGGACCGAGGTTTGAGCTGCGGTGGTCAGTGAGGAGGACGAGGACGGGTTTTGGGAGGACAGAGAGGCGACCTGAGTAGGCACTGCAGCTGTGTTGCCATTGGCCCCGACTGACAATGAGCCAGACTTTTTAGATTCTGGAAAAATAAAGAGATGACAGTTAATTAGCAGGAGAACAGATTGATATGTAAACAGCCAAGGCTAAGAAAGGAGCTAGCTCCTGTGAGTGCCAAAGTGTTACATCATTGTTCGTCTTCCCCCATCAGGCTCTGTCAGCTAGAGTATAAATCCTGCCCTTCATTTTTTTCTTCTTTTGCCTAAAACCACTGCAGACGCACTCTTATATAACTGACCCCAACGGAAGAACCAACACAGATACACTCTAATGCATGTGCACCGTCTTCAGTAACAACAGCAGCAGCAGCAGCAGCAGAGAAAATCAAAGAAAGGAAAGCTGCAGATTTCATTTTCTAAAAAATATACTCCAACTAGTATGTAAATCAACTCTTCATATAAAAGATTATTTGTTTAACAAGAAGTAAATCAGAAGACATTTTAAATTAATAATGGAGTGTGGGCTTACCCTGGGCGTGTGATGTATTCTCTTTGTCGTGCATGGGAGTCTCAGCCACAGGGCAGATTATAAACCAACGCTTACCAGTGTGCAGGACTGTGAAGGGCAAACAGAAAAACTCAAGCATCCACATCTATATTCCCAGAATTTAAAAATCACACCATTACAGATCATTTTCAGCATAACTGCATTCAATTCAATTCAATTTTACTTATATAGCACCAAATCAGAATGATGGTAGCCTCAAGGCATTCCAGACAATTATGCTTTCAACAATAGCACCCTGTATAATTTGTCATTTATGATAAAATTAAGTATGACTGAAAAGGCATTCATAACAAACAGTAATAAAGTGCAAAGTATATAATCAAATGAGCCTTGTTCAAAGTGACATCATAATATTAACAGATGAGATGCTGGCTGGTAAAAAGTCTTACCATTTTGTTGGTACACTAGCTGTGGGGTGCTGGGAGATGAAGCCTTTAAAGGAAAAGAAAGATTACCAACCAGTGCTAAAGCATGTGCATCAGTCTAATGTACATTTAAAAGGCTTCCCCCAAAGAGCCAAAAAAGCTGAACCTCAGAATAAATTCAGTTAGATCAAAATGTAGCATCAGCAAGGCTGGTATTTTTGGCAGCAGTGCAAAGTCATCTTGAGAGTGCTGCCTGGATGATACATCTGAGGCGGAGGCACTCGTAGACAGATTGCACCATTTCATCTATTAACTGTCAACAGTGCGTTTCTCACCTCTGTTCCCAGTGTGCCAGGTCCTTCACTCTGTTTGGGGCTGCCTCCCTGGTCGGAGTTCCTCTCACCCTCAGTGTCCTCACTCAGCATGTCCTCAGCCTTGTCTACGATGTCCTTCAGCTGCTCAATGAAGACCTCTTTTTCTAAAGGTAGAATAAAATCGTTCTCCACCTGAAAAAAACAAAACAAAAACACAGTGCAACATTAAAGGTTTTAGCTTAACAAGCAATGCTTAAAGTAAAGTGTTTATGACTGTGCTGGGAACAAGACACGTAAAAGTACATGCAGAAGGCAAACATGAGAAACAAAAAAAATAATTTATAGCCTTCTGATACATTAACCTAATGTCATTTTATGCCAAGATCAAATATTATCTGCAGTGTATTATTATTGTATGATATAAGAAAATTCAATGACTACAACGACTATTTCATTTTGCTTTTACATTTTGAAGTATTTTTGCTACCGTAGCATTCACAAGTAGATATTCACCTTCTACTATTTTTTTACATTATAAATTAGTAGGCATTATGTTAATGTACTGCTTATGCATCTGTTCCCATATCTATCCATCTGTAAATATGCCCAATATGAATGACCTAGGAAAAGGGAAAGAGACAAAACAACAGATTTTTTGCTGCATTGCAGGTGAGAACAGCAAACAGTCCATGAACAGCTTGCAAAACACTTCAAAAGCCCTTTGCATTAACTCAGCTGACTTCGCCTTCACCTCCAACATACCATGTATGTAGCAATCTCTTCTGGTGCATCTCCATCCAGGTCAAATTTGAAAGTGACCATTTTATGGTTATGAGTCTCCAGCTGACACTCGACCATTTTATCCCCAGTGTTACACACCTGCAACAGGAGCAAATGCAAAAAAATTATTGCCTTATGTTACAGTTTTTTGAGAAGAGCTTAAGGAAAAGTCTTTCTTTTGGTTACCCACATTCAGCATGCTAAGCTTTGGTCTGCTGAGCTTTTCTTGCCGAGAACGAGTGCGTGAGGACCTGCGGTGGTGTTTGCGGACTTTCCCATCACATCTACCTCCATGTGTCCCTTCATAACCATCACTCATCTCCTTTCCTGATGTGGCATCGGAGTTGACACTGGTTTGGGGAAAGACAGGCAGTTATACAAATCCATATTCACTAAAACCACTATTAATCAATAAAAAACGAATACCCGGCACTTCTTTTTACTCTAGTACTCAACACATAACAAACTTCAAAACAACAAGTATGCACAAACCTGTCCAAACCTGTCTAACCAGTATGTCCACACAAATGTAGGGGGGCTGACAAAGACAGATTCAGTTGATAAGATGTGTGATACACAATCATGAATAACCTACTTAAATCTGAAAATACAAGAGCTCTATTACCACAGAGCCTTCTGTTTACAACTGAAATCTTGTATTGAGAATACTGTACTGGTCTTTACCTCCTCTTGTGTTTTTAAAGCTCGGTGAAAAGGTTTTGTGAAGTTCATCACAGCTATGGAATGCCTGCAGGATTTAAAATGTCTGATACATGATATCTGTTATGCAAGTACTATTAAAATGCTTTCATTCATGTCACTATGACCAGCAAGAGTGACATGAGTGTTCAGATATGTTTATCTGTCTCCTGGTCAACTGGCAGTGTTGACCAAACACGATGTTGCACTCCATCTACACACAAAGTTAGGGTGGTCAACAAGGTTTACAGGACAACAAATAAAATAAGAAGTAGTAGTAAATGACAACTTTAAGACAAAAAAATAGTTGCTAGTTGTTCCATTATTTATACTTATCAGGTCAGTTATCTATACCTCATGAAAAATTGTTTATGCTGCATTAAATTGAAAACAAAACAGATGCAATGTTGCCAACCTGTGCAGATTCTTGCCAGGCATCATTTTTCATCATCATTCTTAATTTTTCTTGTTAAACTGCTCTTTTGGTAGAGATTCTGTACAACAACAGTGAGAGGTGTACCACCTACCCTGAAGGTGCAGGAGGCCGGGCACAATTGCACATGTGCAAAATACACATTGTTGAGAACCTGCAACTAGCAAATATGGCTGAGAAGAAATAAGCTAGTACCTGTCATAGCTCTGTCCTCCTGTGTGTTTCTCTGCAGCTTGGTCCTAATGACAACAAAAGTCAGCGTTAAACAAGAAGAGAACGGTGAATATGAAATCCTTTACTTTCTATTTTATGTTTTGAAAAGACGCACAGGGATGCCTCACGGCACTATGCCAGTATTGCTGTTAACCAAACTAACAGGGAGAAATAATTAGTGAGAACTTGAAGTGTTCAAGTAAATGTAAATGAGTCCATACCTCCATGTTAATCTCTGTTGAACCCTGACCTGCAGCTCCTGTGACATTACTCAGTTGTTTCTGCTGAGTCCAACAGGAACTGGCAGACCCAGATGATGCTCTCTGGGAGTCTGCAGACTGCAGCACAGGAATTTGGCTTTGAACCTGACTCTGGGGCTGGGCCTGTGGGGGGAGCTGGCATGGGCTCACACTGTCCAGCTGGGCAGCCGCAGAGGCTGTTCCCAGTTCTGCCCCGTTCTGCACATGTGAAGAAAAGACTGCAGCTTGTTTGAGCTGAGATGGCTGGACTGACTGAGCACAGGGAACAGGCTCGGGATGGCTAACCTGGGACTGCTGAGGAGCCTACAATGACATACAAACAAGAAGACACATAATTATTCGGCGACAGAGTTTCTTTCACATAATCCATGTATGAACTACATATCTAGATTTTAGCATTGTTTTATATGCAATATTTGATTAAATTATGTGAAAAACATAAACGTTTATTATGTTCACCATACCTACTCCAAAAAAGTATATTTTTGACTCAAAGAATATGTAAAAACAACCCAAGACAATCACAATCTTAGGTTTCATCCCCTTGAGTAAAAACCACCTTTAACAAACACACACAAATGCTCAAATTCCAGTTCACACCTTCTTGGTAAACATCTGTGCTCCACTGCAGTGGTCATAATTACCTGTATTAGTGGCTGACTGCTGCCAATTGTGGAAGGGTGTGTGTTCTGGCACCGGGCAGTGTGTGTGTGTGTGGGGTGGGTGGTTAGGGCTGATATAAATGCAGGCGATGCATGAGAAACCTCAGATCTAGCAGTGTGTTGTGGTTGTGGGGATGTGGGCTCTATCTTACTCAGTGCATGTGACGGGGACGGTATGAGGGATACTGAGATGGGTGAAACTAATGTGTTTTCAATGTGCAGAGGAGAAATGGGAGAGACAGAGGGAGTCACAGGGACAGTATGCCCAGGAGAAAGGAAGATGTGATTAAGAGAAGTTGAGGGAGAAGGGGGAGGAGCAGTGCAAGAGTGAGGGAAGGAAGATTCAGAATCAGTCACAGCTGCCATCACCTGGACTGTGGGATACTGTGAAGGAAACTAAAAGAAAAAGGAAAAAAAGGAAGAAACATTAAAAAGTCAAATAATCTAGAAAAAAAAGTCTCCTGTGTGCAGGATGCAGGATGATGCATCAAAAGAACTTGCTTCAAGCCTATAAAAAAGAGAGTATCATGGAGGTAAGATTAGCAGTGATAACAGACTAACAATACCTGTGGTTGGTGTGATGGTGACAGTGAAGCAGAAATCTGCAGAGGCTGGAGTTGCTGTTGGTGAGCAGCTGACTGCTGAGCAGAGAGTGCCTGTGCTGGCCCACTGGAAGCTGGCTGGCTGACATTCTGCCCATGGCCCTGTCCACCCTGTCCAAGCTGTGAAATGCTCTGACCAGCAGAGATATTCTAAAGAACAAAAAAGACAAGAGACAAAAAAGAGGGACTTTAATGAGACTTATCCCTCACTTTGAAAATCTACACTTCCTTCCATTGACCCAGATTAGAATAGCTCACATTTTCCATTCTCTCCCTATTAATGCATTCAGTCTGAATCTTCCACCTCAGTGAACATTTGTACCACAAAACAGCAAGAGCAAGCATTAGAAGGCTAACTGATACAGGGATGAAAACAACTGTTATTGTTTCATTATGGTTTCCATTATCTCTCTGTTGGCTGGTGTCTGAGGAAACTCCTGTTTGTTGGCCTTTTCATTTCTTCATTCACCTACTGCCCACAAACACAGATGTTTCCAATCCTCTTGACCCAATCAAAACTTTTTGATTTAAATTTTAATATAAAGAGAATCAAATTTACATTGTAATAAATAAAAATGTCAACTTCTTTCATCATTTAAAGTCTCTCCCACACAGAGCATCACTGTTGAGACAACTTAATGCTGAATCACTCCTTCTGCTCCACAGTTATAGCACTGAATGACCACAAGATGCAGAACAAGAGGATGAAACAAGCAAACCTTTGGGTGCAAAATGTTATGAATTAGAATGTGATTTTTTAAATTATGATCAAAAGTGTAATCTGACTATTTCCCTCATGAAGTTTCAATTTATTTAACATAGTTTCACGTCATATGTTTTCCCTGATAATCGATATCCCACCAGCAGCTGCTCACTGTTTGAGCCACTCCATTAATGTAGCATACAATTAGGAAAAAAAAACTTACTTTACTTAGTCCCTAAGGACCCCAAAGCGCTTTACACTACATTCAGTCATTCACACACACATTCACACACTGGTGATGGCAAGCTACATTGTAGCCACAGCTGCCCTGGGGCAAACTGACAGAGGTGAGGCTACCGGGCACTGGCGCCACCGGGCCCTCTGACCACCACCAGTAGGCAACGGGTGAAGTGTCTTGCCCAAGGACACAACGACCGAGGCTCGAACCAGTTACAAGACGAACTGCCAACTCTTGAGCCACGATCGTCCCTATATGTTACCTTCATATAGTTACTATACAGTAACCATCTACACTATACACTCACCTGTTGGGTGGTATGTTCAGCCTGGCCTTGCTGAGAAGAGGTTGAAATGCTCTGAGAAGTCAGTACCTGGTTAGCTGCTATGTAATTCTGTGGACAGACTGATTGGGCAGGCAGGTACTGACTTTGACCCGGAGCTGTTTGTTGAAGTGCAGAATGTGCATAGCTCTGAGAGGCAGCATCATGTGGACCTGCAGCTGAGTAACTCTGATGTTTGGCTGGAACCTGCAGAACTTGAGTTGCGGTGGTTTGGGGCTGAGACTGCGATACATCCTGACTCTGTTGTGGAACTGCTGTTTGGATAGTTTTTTGACTGTGCTGCTGGACATTTGGAGTGTGCACTTGTTGCTGTGTCGAACAGTGAAGACTTTGTGATTGTTGGGTTGGATGTTGTGCCATTTGCTGGTGCATGGCATACACAGTTTCTTGGCCATGCTGGAGTTGAGACTGAACACAGGCCTTCCCAGCATTTTGCTGTGCATTTTGTGATAAAGACTGTTGGTGCTCTGGTTGAATGGATATTTGCTGACTGTAAAGTGCTGGTGTGGCAGAGTTTTGACTATGTTGCTGATGGGGCAATTTGACTGTGGTTTGGGCCTGCTGCAGTGTGCTGGAAGCTTGTACTAGTTGACCCTGAACTGTGGGTGCCATAGATGGGGCTGCAGATGCACGAGGACAATTTTCAGTTGGCTGCTGTGCTGGCAGAGTGGTTGCTGCAGTTGGCTGCTGAACTGATCCTGATGCAGACTGAGCCTGTTGTAAAGGTGGGGCCACAGAGTTCTGAGATGTTTGCTGCACTTGTAAGTGAAAAGTCAAAGAGCTCGCTGCAGTTACTTGCTGCTGTTGCTGAACTGGTGCTTGGTAGCTTTGTACAACATGTTGTGGCACAGCTGATGGTACAATACTTGCTGCAACTTGAGCCTGTTGCACATTTGGCGGTGAGTAGCTACCAGCACTGGTCGCATGTTGGATGTTGACTGAACATAGACTGGCTGGAGCTGGTGTTGGTGCACAAGGCTGAGGAGCATACAAAGTAGCAGGATAGCTGTGTCCAGGCTCGAGGTACTGTGGTGGTGCATGCACTGTGGAGCTGGAAGAGGACAGACCTTGGACAGATTGTTGGGTCTGGTAACCTGTAGAACTGGCCTAAGGATCAAAGGAGATATTTTTAAGTTAGTATCTGTTGGGAATGAATTTTCTAGTCAATGATCAAATCTAACAAAAGCTTATACGTGTGCCAGTTACATTAATTCATGATGGGTGAAAATATAATGAGAGGATGAGGGATAAAAATAAGTTCATGAAATACGTTTTAACAATGAGGAGGTCTTGACAGGTGTGAGCTAAAATGAGAGCACAAGGGAGAAAAAGTGGGAGAGAAAGAGGATGTAAATCAGACAGTTGCCTCTTCCCCTTTGGTTAGAGGATATCTTTCAGTGTCAAGCTCAACAGCTGTTGCATCTGGACAGTCAAGCAGAGAAGGAAAGGTTAAAATCTGGATCAGTAGTTAAAGGCATTGGTTAAGGTTGATCGGAAGGAAATGTAATATGTTAGAGGTTGCACCATTGTTCTCCATCAGCAGCAAGCTTATGATTTCTAAGAAGACAGTTAGCTCTAGAGGCCTATGAGGGCAGCAAGACTCAGTGGGCAGTTAATCAGACCAGCTCCATGCAGAATAATGCAGAACCATCTACAAGCTGGAAAAATGTGTTAAGCAGGTTTTGGCCCCATCATAGGACGCGAAAACAACTTGCTCTTGTGACCTACCACTCCTACAGCCCTGGTAACTTGCTGCTCTCTGGCACAGCATCTGTCTTCACACTCCTGGAGAGGTTCGTGGTCCCCAACAAGACTGCTAATCTGGAAATGACTCTTTAGGCTGCAGTCTCCATCACTCCCGGTTGGACTGAGAGCAGCTGAAGAGTACAGTGATGAGGCTTGGGCAGGTGTGGGGGGACAAGGGGCTGCTTTGCGACTGATTATATTAAAGAGGGACTGCTGCAGCTGTGAGAAATTGGAATAATCACTTGAAGCCTTCAGCAGTCCATAGCCAGGAGTGCTCATCATTCCACCAGGTGATGGGTGGTGTCTAAAGTCACATGGACATTGGTGTGTTGGCATGACAACAGAATGACAGTGGTGCCTCCAATCTTGTGACCTCAAATGAAGCATAGAAATACATGCCTGGCACACAGAGCCCCTGTGCATCGCAATATGGTGGTTGTGATGAGAGGTCAGACTCAGAAGACTACTAAGGTCAGAGTGCCTTCGTTCAGTTGGCACAGGAAGTGATAATGTCTCTGATGGCGATCTGATGTTGATATCACTAAGTCGGCGGTGGTCAGTAGGTGAAGAGACGGGGGAGACTTTTATTACTGGCATAGCACTCTGTGGGGAAAACCCTCCATAAGACTCTGAGTGCAGCTCAGCAGAGCTGAGTTCTGACTGTTCTGGTACCGTTGGGTTGGGACTGACTGATCTCTTAGACTGAATGAGGGCATGCAGTCGAGCAATGTGGTTTGCCCTTTGAATGTCAATAACAGGGGCACTTCCCCTCCGGCCTTCAGCTCCCAATCGAGCCCTGAGCTCTGGGCTCAGCGTTGCCTCCCACACTTCACCCCGTTCGCAGTACTGGGGTCGATCTGTCAGAAAATGGCTACTGCTCGGGCACTGATTGAGGAACAACCCAAAAGCAAAACATATGTTACTCAAAATAAACAGGGCATAACAAAAAGAATATGATGATGTGGTGAGGACAAACAAACTTGTTCACAAAGACAAATGACTGTATGAAAAATATATGGGCACGTTATATGCACATGTAAAGAAATGTGTATGCGTGGTAACTCTTAAATGTGTGAATAAAGCATGTGTGTGGGTGTTTGTGTGTTCAGTTTCAAGGTCAAGTGCGTGTTTGCTAGTTCTAAATAGTCTATGTTTTTAAATAAAACTGAATGCACATGGTCCACCAGGGTGTGTAAGCTCCTGATACAGACCTGCTGTGTTGCCATAGTAATAGGCTCGAGCAGGGACTGGTAGAGGACACTGTGCTGGCTGCTGTGGGAGTCCGAGTACACTGTGGAGCCCATGCCACTGTCAAGTGTGCTGTCTGCTGCAGAGACACATAAATCATCCACTCATAAAAAAGTCAAAGATTAGGCTTGTGCTTCGGGGTGGATGAGAACAGAATCTCTTACATGTTACTGAGGTGGCACTGGCTGTGAGGGTATGCAGCCTGTTGTACTGGTCTGCCTCTGGTTCTTCTGGTTCCAGCACAAGGGGCTGCCCTACATGTGGCACCCCAGCAGAGATGCCCTGAGATGGTGTCATCTGGGTGCTGTGTCCACCTTCACCCTGATTCTCTGCAGCCGCTGCAGACACTGTGCGCTCTCGTCTCCATTTGATCAGTGCCACACGGTCCCTGATCGACTTTCCCACGGTCTTAGCATCGCTCTCATGGAAGAAGCCAGACTCCACCTGACAGAGAAAAGGGAAGAGCATGACTTTCAGGATATTTTTAGCAGTGAGCCATGTGAGGGAAGAGAGGGTGCATATAAAAAGGGGAGTGCACGAGGCAAAAAGAAGGAGCAAGAAAAGGAAGGAAGAGAAAATCTATTTTAAGGGGATCAGAGCAGTGGGGAAACGTTTCCTTTGTCTGCTGCTTGGCTCACTCTTCACAACAGAATTGTCTGGTCTGTTACATCAAAACGTCCGTCTTTCGCTCCAGTGTTTACATGTGATGTACAAACAAATACAAAAATGTTGTGCTATGTACAGCACTGTTTCAAAGGAAGTTTCATCAGGAAATTTTCTCCACGTTATTCTCGCTAAAGGTATGACATCTGCAGTTTTACTGTGTGCCACCCTTATTTTCCTCTCAAAGCCTGTCTTCGGCTGAAGAAAGGCTTACAATGACAATGTTTACATTCCCTATCTGAAGATAACCCAATACACTTTCTCCAATACCCCTATTAGGGCACTTTTTCTATGGTGTAAAAGAATGTTAGACAAGTGACAAAACAAGAGTTTGAGTAATGAAAATCATAGCTCCACAATGAGAACTGTCCATTTTTTTCTGGATCTTGTTTTTATTGCTGGGCCTGTGGAAACCTTATCTGGTTGCGTTCACTCGAGAAAACTATGTAAACAAAAATAAAAAAATAGTACTATATTCCTGGAAGTTATCAATCTTAGCAATCTGCACTATATAAAACCAAACACTAGAAGACAATAAGCCTCTAAGAAATGCAAAGCATAAAAGTGTGGTGTCAAAAAAACATAAAACGACAAAGAAATAGAAACCATTTCTAGTACTCAACATTCAGATTTAACATTTCTATGTATGAAAAGAATTCTGTAATGTATAGCTAAAACCATTTACTCACCATTTCTTGTGCGACAACCTCAGGGACCTCCTTCTCCAGGTCAAATGTAAACTCAATGGCCCCACTCTCCTTGTATTTCCCTTTTAACTTCTTGGGGTCCTCCACCCACAGTTTGAGAGCTATTGAGGACTTTTTTCCATCATCCTCCTCAGCTAGCTCCACCCTCACACCTGTGTCCTCGGCAAAAAAAGCGTGATTCAACAGATCTTTGATCGTGTACCTGGGAGCAGAAAAAGAAAAGCTCTGACTCCAGTGGAAAGATGTTCAAGATACAGTAAAGTTAACAGTGACACAGAGCCATTCATGGTCGCATATTACTTGTGCTTCCCAGATTACCAATCACTGAACCTAATTATGATTCATTAAAAAATAAATAAATAAACAAACAAAATAAGCCACAAGAAACTAATTAAACGTTATTTGCCCCGATGTACACAAACGAATTATGTAACAGAATTGAAAGACACCCCGCAGATAGATAGAAACTGCAGTGCTGCTGAGAGCCCAGCTGTCAGTGCCACAGCAATGAAACGGGGGAGGTGAGACAAGGCATGAAAGACGAGAGGGCACCTTGTGGGCCCTGTTGGCTGGACGCTGGACATCGCCGAGCACAGTCACTCACCGTTCCTCTTTCTTTTGGCAGATGCACTCTCCAATGATCTCCTTGATTTCAGGATCCATGACCTTGTTGTAGCTGGCTGGCTTTACTCCCTGAGCAAAGGGAAATATAAGCAAAACATTGTGGATATGTCATGAAAGGATGTCATGTTGATGAGAAAACATAACAAAAGAGAAAAAAAATGAACACATGAATGGAAATGTATTTTTTGTGATGCTCCACCCAAATCTTATCTTCTAAGTATCACACACTCGCTCTCTGAAAAGAGAGCCGAAAGTACCACAGCAGTGGTCAGTTTGAATTCATGTCAGGTCCCACAAAGCATAAAAACATCCAAAGGAAGCATCACAAAAACTCCAGCAGCATAGTAAATGCTCAAAGCACAAAAAACACCTCGTTCTCATACAAAGGCTTTCAAAGTTCCAATTTACACATGAGCAGCCAGATGTTGTTTTGTAAACTACTATTACAGTCAGTTGGTCTAAATTCGTCTGTTTTGACTGTGCAGACGGTTCTGAGTTGTCACAGCTGGTGTGGTTTAACAATAGATTTGATGCCCAATAGATTTTGAGCAGTTCTTCTAAAAATGGATGAATTCTGTCTTTTCTTAACATAACACTTCTATTTCGTTTCTTACAGGTATAATCTACCCAGTTATTTTTTTAATTGTGCAGCCAGACTATATAAAACGTGTGATATAATTAACTGGAGAAAATAAAGTTTCTGCATCAAAATAAACTATATGTAAAGTATATGCATATATCTGGATTAATATTCCACCAATTATTCAGCTGGATGCTGTATCTCTTCAGGGAGTACACACAATGTATAATGCTATTAGGGTTTCCCTTTGATCAGCCTTCTATTAACATCCCACTGTGGAAGGCACATTCATATGAATACAATGCAAAAAATAGCAACTATAGAGAGCTGCACTGATGCTCCCTAACCATTAATATAGGTTGAGAGACTGCTTTAACAGCTGCTAACAGGTGAAAGAGTCTGTTTTTTCAGGTCCAACCCTGCCAAGTTTTAAAAGTGAAAAAACAAAACAATCAGTATTCAAAGCACTATGCTTTGCTAGCAAAGGAAGATGTACAGAAATACAGCCTTTAGGCTTCATCCAGAAAACAAAAGAAACTTGGACCCCCTGAGTGACACCATATGGCTGATTAGACTCTTCAACCAAGAAATTCAACACTGAGGAATCATCTACCTGAAAATGGTGCCGATTTTGTACTCTGAGAAATTCTCTGGACTTATTATCTGAAATGGCAAAAAAAACATCCCATCCTTGCTATGCCATGTTCACAAAGCATGACACTGAATTATTAATACATTAAAGAAGTCACTTTCTTGCTGAACATTTTAGAAACCAAGTTTTACAGAGAAAACTTGGTAAATGAATATATGGAAAAGTTTTAGTATATGAAACTATCAACTTCTTAATTTTAATAAACAGTGCATTTATCACCTTAAAGGTTTTGCATTTAATACTGGTGACAGTTGATGAGCAATTAGTTCAGCCTCTTTTTGCCTGTATATCATCTTTTATTCCAAGCATATTGTCATTATGGTTCATCATATTTCTATTAGGGCTACTTAACATTCATTCATTAATGTTTAAATACTGGACAGATCTCTAGGTTTCTGTTAAAATCCCTGAGTGTAAGCCCATTTTTGACAAGTCATTACCTTAATCTTAATTTAACATTAAATATTTAGAAGTTCAATTTGTATGCATAATTAGAGCTCTGAGAAATTTTGACCAAAGTATGTTTTCCATGAACAGGTGATTTTGGTGGAAACATATTAATGTAAATGTAAAACACCATGCTGTGTGACCAGTTCCAGAGTGTACTGCATAACTGTAGCATCCCTGGTTTGATTCCAGCAGATGGTCTTTGTTGCATGCTAAAGCCCTCTCTGCCCCTCTCCCTCTCCTTCACAGTCAGGCGTCCAAAATAAATGCAAGAATTTAAAAAAAAAAAATTGCACAGCATGACTCACACTGGTAACTTTGCGGTAGATTTGAGCAGCATTCTGACACTCAGAATAGGGATATTCAGAGGTGGCCATTTCTAGCATACACATGCCAAAGGCATAGACATCCACAGCCTCGTCATAGTGTTCCTCATACATCTCTGGGGCCATGAACTCTGGAGTGCCTGCAGGAGCAGATGGAGAGAACAAGAGTGCCCAGTTGACAAATTACTAATACTTCTTACTGTAAAAACCACAAATCTGTCAAGTCACATTTTAAAGGTCTCCTACCTATGACACTCTTAGCAAAAGAAGCTGCCTTGAGTGTTGCCAGACCTAAATCCCCTATCTTTACTGAACCTGTAGGTCCAGTAATAAAGATGTTGTCACATTTAAGATCTCTGTGAATGATGGGAGGCGTCCTGGTGTGGAGAAAGTGGAGGCCTTTAAGGATCTGTCTACACCAGCTCCTTAACACTTTGGGCTTCATTACCTTGAAACGCTTTAGATAGCTGCATGAAGGAAAGGGAAACCTATTAGACCATAATTAAATGAGCAGCAAATTAAAAGCAACTGCCTACATCCATACTCACGTTTTTAGCGTTCCTGACGTCATGAGCTCTGTTACTAAAACAATGCACTTCTTTCCTTTAAGCGGTGACTCCCAGAAGTCGTAGAAACGGACAATGTTGGGATGCTGGAGGCCCTTCAACATTTCTGCTTCCTCTTTAAAGCGCTGACGTTCCATTTTAGAAAGCTTACGATCCTAGAGGAAACAACAGATGAAGAAATGATGACTATGAAGCCCCTAAAATAACTGTAAAACATATTTGCTTCACAAAAACTACCAGATGGAAGAGCATCCCATCGTTCCTCCACATTTTAAATTCATGCTTCTAGTATGCTTTTGAAAGTGGGAAATACGGAGTAGTTGAGGTGGAGGTTAGTGTCAGTCTCTGAGACATATACACATCTCTAATTAGACCATATGTGTGTCAAAGCCGATGACTATCACAAGTGTACGTGTGTGGGAACATTCAGATGAGTATCTTTTTCAATCAATAAGAACATTCTGCCACATCTTTTGTTTGCAAATACATTTTTAGATGTAATATGATCAGATGTGACCTCTTACTTGCTAGCTTTGATTTGTCCAGGAACACTGAGGACGTGTAAAGAGAAAGAGGGGTGACAAAGCACAGCCGCTCCTGGGAGAATGAACCAAGGCATTAACATCGTCACACCCTCAAAATGCTATGGCTAAAGGTTATGTGTCATCGATCTCTGCCATCTTTCACTCGCTTTCTCACTCTCTCACCCTCTTAGTCCCCTCCCCCACATCTGCAATCTATCTCCTTTTCTGCACCCCGACCACTCCCTTTTTCATCCCCAAGATCCCCCACAAACACAAAAAGCATCTTCTGTAGCTACTCTCTCACCATTTCTCAGTTCCTAGTCTGGCAGCACCATGCTGTATCTAGTGCAAGGTTGTGGTTTCTTTCCTGTGATTTTTTTTTCTTGTCTTTTTTTTTTACTGCCACTACATCAACAACTTATATAACACACATACACACAGTGAGCTGTGTCTAGCAGCAAGACCCCACCCATCACAGAAACCGACGACACTGATGGTGGAATGCAGTGAAAACAACCTAGCGGGATTTAATCTATTCAATTATTCACCCAAAGTCAACTTCCTTCTTAGATGAAACTGCAATTAGAAAATGAACATGAATAACCAGAACATTGTGATTCAATGTGTTGAGGAGTGGATTGATGTGATGGATAAGGCTTGCATGTATAAGAATGTGGCATGTCAGGTTTTTTTGTGTAAGTGTGTATGGTGGTGATGGTGGTGGTGAGGGGTGTGGGGATTTTCACTGCACTCTTCTGAAGTCCCATGAATAATTCAGTTCTGCAGAGAACTCTTTCTACTGAAGCAAGCTGAGCAATGAAAGGCTTGGGCTGGCTAAGTTGGGCTGGGTTATCCCCATGTGCTGTTTGTTGCACAGGAGCACCACATTGTCTGAAGCTTACCTGAAACATAGGTCTAAAAAAGAGCAACAAAGAGGAACGAGGAAGACCGCTTAAAGCATGAGTGCTGCAGCTTTCTTTCCTTTAGGCAATTCCACCCCCCCTCTCTCCAGATTACTTCCTTTACTGCTCCCTTGCTTTCTTGATCTCATCTTTCAGGAAACCTGCTGCTTTTTTCAAATAAGCCCCAATTCAGAGTGTTCCCCAAGCTCCAGTCACACTCCCCGCATCACCCCCTACATTTGCACCCTCACTTGTCTTTCCCTCTTAGCAGACACTGGGGTTTCTGCATAATTCAGAAGCCACATGCAGGCTGAGAGGCGTGGTTCACTGCGTCGAGAGTTATGTGCACTTACATGCTTTTGCGCACTGAGAGAATGGAAGAATGTCACTTTGAAAATCAATTTCCTCATAGCTACTGTGAGGTCTTTAACAAGTGTGACTCATTACGGTACATTTGCTGCACTACAAACAGACCATTTATTGTTTGTGTGCATGTATGTGCATGTAATCTTATCGCACCTGTGCTTCATTGCAGAGCAGGTAACTGCTTGAGTGAAGTCAACACACAAACTGAAAGCTACAGCAGGCAGCAAGGGCAGAAAAATAGATAGTGACATTATCAGGAAGCAATCTTTAAACCTGTTCTCTACAATGCTGCCATCCACTATATCTGTATGCTCACCTCTGTTAATTCCACAGCTCTGCTAGCTCATACAGTGACACAGAATATCAGAATGAGAAAGCAAACCACTGGGTTTTTGGTGTTGGAAGAATCAAGTAATGGATTAAAATATTAGATCCAGGAACTCTGCAAGGTTATCATAGTATATAAATGCAGTGTCAAAATCATATTCTTGACCTAATGTCACATTAAGTAGGAATAGCATACTCCTATTGTGAAGGGATTGCTATCAGTCCAGCTACTTTACCTGAGGATTTTAGGATAATTATAACAAAGCTGTAAGAGTTACACTTCCTAATGAAAGGAGCTTACTGATTGTATATAAAGGGCTTTAGCCTTCTCCCTGAAGGCTACTGACATAATCAGACATACTTACATTTTTTTGTGGATCATGACATGAACATTCCCTTTGTCTGGATTTAAATTACACTGATGCAACGAATGCTACCCAAAATTACAGTATGTACTAGCATCAGGTATGACTCCAATTGTACCATTTTACATGATCCCAGATCTCACTACATGAAAAATTAATCCCCCATCTCTGATAAAAGATTCAATTCACAAACCATCTGAAAGCATAGAACAATGCTAAGGTTGTGAAGTGGCACATGGACTGAGTGGCTAATGAGTGGCTGCTGACAAATGTAGTTCACACACAGCTCCGTTCTGTCTGAAGAAATCTTATGACTGTAATTTTTTATAGACACGAATTGCGTCTATTTTAGTTTGTCACAGTTTCCCCCAATGAGACAAAGCCTACAAGTTCTTACCTAATATACAAATATCTGAACTTACTGAACCAGTGAGATCCGCATCCTAGAGGCTAAATGTATTAGGAGAGAAACAGGTTTATGCATTAGTCCTGATTATGCCAGCCAAATTACAAATTGTCTGGCTGTTTCTTTGCCACTACAACTTAGCGTTCCTAATTACTATTTCTGCTTTACCTAATTAACTTGGCCTCATCTTGATCCTTAGTTAACAAGGAGCAGATTAGCAACACTGGGACTCCATAGCCACAGTGTTATTGGGATTTGTATTCAAACAACTTGTCAACAAATTGTAATATAAAAAAGGACAGCAGAACTCATATTTACTGTCACATGCTTTTGTCAATAAATGAAGATTAAGGAATATTTTACATGAATATACGTTATTTGTAAAATCCAGTAAAACTTGACTAGCATACATACCCCAATACGCAAAAATCCCACAGCAAATAGGCCTTAGTATAGAATTTAAATGCCGCATTGAAAAGCTCAGGTTCAGTCTCACTCACAATGATAATGTGACGCATTAACAATCAATACAGGTCATATTCCTTTAACCATAGCTACAGAACTACCTCCTTACTGCCACATCTTATTCAGTTCATGCAGACATTTCAACAAAAAATGTTTGGACTCAAGGGAAACAAACCCTGGTTGCCAGGCTGAGGCGGTATGATAATTTACTTGGAAACCCTTTCCACCCATCCTTAATAACAGATGACTACTGCAGTGCTTCCGATGCTGTAACAAAAGCTGGTGCAGGGTGAGCCATGAGCCAGCAGACTGCCCGCAGCTGAATTGTGTCCCATCAGTCATGACTGCAGGAGGCTTTGACCGGCAGCTGTGCCAGCTACCATTATCCCTGTATTCATTGTTATACACCTGCCATACAACCATGGTAAACCCAGGCAGAGTAAAATGGCATACCCGGCATTCAGGGTGGCCCAGTATAATGTTTTGAATAAGAAAAGGCTAGTGAAATATCTGAAAAGCATTCTGAAAGAGACAAATGTATGCTTCACCTAGCCTTGGGAGGGAGGAGTCAAAGAGGCAGAACAACATTCAAGATGAGAAGCCACTCCGATACTGTGGCAGAAAACAACAATCAGATCATGCCCAAATGATTACTTTGCTGTTTGGGCATCAAAAGTATGAGCTAAGAAAACAGAAGGGGAGAGACAAGCAGAAACTATGCGAAATAAAAGCATCACAGACACACTGAGAACAGAAGAAAAACAGAACATAAGACACTAAATGAAATAAATGAATTGGGGGCTGATCATATTAAGAGCACTTGTGATTGTTGCTTGGATGATTATGTGTATGAGTGTGACTAGCTGATTGTGACCAGCAGTTAGCCAAAGCAGATTAAAGCATAGAAACCTCCTATAAAGCTCTTTTCTGTGAATATATATATATATATATATATACACACACACACACACACACAAACACTGTATTCTATACACTAATACGAAAAAGTTTAGGAGTTCTAAATCAGATGCAATGAAAGAATAGCTTAACCAAAAAGACTTACTAACTAAAAGTTACATGTGGTAAATGAGGATTGTCTATTTATATTTAGCATAATGCATCACAGAATTCTGTCTGAGAGCCACAAATAATCACATATTGTTTTAACAATTCTTCCCTTTAATAAAAAAGGCAAAATATTCCACATGTAATCGTGTATATATACAGATAGATATAATTACATTATTTATTATTGGATTTAAGCCAAGTAGAAAATAAGTCGTGTTATTTTATTCATTTCTAATCTGCTTTAACTGGTAACATTTTTAGCAGCATTAGCCTGTGTGTCCAGCCAATCCAACCCAAGGTACGACAGCTGGTGGTGACACTTTCAATACACTGACCCCAAACACTGATACTTAACGGTAACACGGTCACTCAGACCCATTGTAAAAACCATGGAGGAGCTGACAGAGTGGCTACAAATAGCTGCAGTGCTATGATACACCGGGTGGCAAATTTTACCCATCTGCTCTGAACTTCAGACAAATTCACAAATGTGTTCAGTGTCCATGTAAATGACTAAAGCCTACTGTAGCCAGTGTGGACCGGTGCAAGCCAGAAAGTGAGAGTGCGGAGGGTGGACAGGCTTCCACATGTCCTGCATCGTACAGACCACTGATGATGAGGGTTGGCACTGAGATAAGGACAAGAGCAATGATTTGTCGAGTAGAGCTGCCCTGATTTGAACTGGGTGGCCTGGCTAAACTCCCTGGTTTGACAATTTTAGAATCTGCTGTA